GACGGCGTGCTGGTCGTGGGCACCACCTCGCGGCCCGCGGCTCTGGACGAGGCTACCCGCCGGCGCTTCGCTCTCCGCTTCTACGTGGCGTTGCCCGACGGCCCTGCCCGCGGGCAGATCCTGCAGCGGGCGCTGGCCCAGCAGGGCTGCGCGCTGAACGAGCGGGAGCTCGCGGCCCTGGTGCAGGGCACCCAGGGTTTCTCCGGGGGCGAGCTGGGGCAGCTGTGCCAGCAGGCAGCGGCCGGGGCGGGCCTCCCGGGGCTGCAGCGGCCCCTCTCCTACAAGGACTTGGAGGCAGCGCTCGCCAAGGTGGGCCCTAGGGCCTCCCCCAAGGACCTGGACTCGTACGTGGAATGGGACAAAATGTACGGCTCCGGACACTGACGGCGCGCCGGGAGGCCGCGGGAGCAAGCCGCCCCGCTCCCCCCGCCCCTCCGGTCGGGAGGGTTGTCTTTAACCAAACCGGGCTGGGAGGGTGCCGGAGTGATGAATGTGGGCTGGGGGAGGGGAGGGGCTGCCGGTGAAATTTTTTTTTTTTTTTTCCGTGGGAAGGAAAATGCTTCTGCTAGGCAGATAGATGCCATATGCGCTGTGTACTCAGGTTTTTCCTATTTATTGTGGACGGGAAGCTCGCCATCTCCGCCCGGCCGACGGGCAGACCCGGGATAGGCTGGCACCCGGGGCCTAAGGAACTCCTGCGCCCTCGCCACAATCCTTTTGTCTCCTCGCTCCCTGAATGGCTCTCTCCTCCCCCCTCTTTCTCTGCATTCGCGTAGTTTTCTCTCTCCGTGGTTTTGTCACTGACTTTCTCCTATGTTGGCCCTGTTTCTCTTTTGCCCCTCCCTCCCCATCTCTCCATCTATCACCCTCTGTGCTTCTGTCTCCCTCCCTCGCTTTCCAGCCTGTTTCTCTTGGTCCCTCTCATTCAAAAGAATGCAGTGTACCTTTGCAGGAGATCTGAAAGTCCAGGGGCTGAGGAGGAGGGGTAGGGAGTTCCCTCCCACCCCATTATCCTTCACCCAGCTGTATCCTTGGGTCTTGGGGGGGGCGGGGGGGGAGGGCAAGCAAAAAAAAAAAAGAAAAGAAAAAAAGAAAAAAAAAAAACCACCCAAAGAAGGGTTTTTGTTTGTTTGTTTGTTTTTGAGGGGGAAATCCCAGAAATGTAGCTTGTTTAATATTTTAGGCCTCTTATTTTTGTAAGATGAGTAGAATTTGCTGTTTTTCGTTTTATTTTGACAACTCAGGAAGAAACTGACCTCAGAAAGAATGTTAGACTTTGGCTGCTCTCCTGTGTGTACCCTGCCCCCCCACCCCAGATTCTCCCAGGAGACTCAGAAAGTGAAACTTGTGGGGAAGGAGAGAGGAAGACCCAGAGCCACACTAAAACCCCTGCTCTTCCTGGGACAGAAGTGGAATGTATTTCTAGGGCTTCCTCCCCAGGTCCAAGGTTGTAGGCAGGGGTGTGGGGGAGTGGGTTGTGGGATTTGAGAAGAAGTAGGTCCTGCTGCTCTCCCCCTGAGCCCCACCCTCCAGCTTAGTGTTTTCTGTTTAGCGTTACCCAGAGGGATGCCCCTTGCCCCCCTTCCTGCCCCAGATCCAGAGAGAGAGGGCCCGGATGGGAAGGTGACCTGGGCAGAAAGTCCCCAGAGAGGTCATCTCACCTGGCCCTTCATAGGCGGAGGTCTTCTATAACTTCTGTTAAGAGGATTCCCTCGGGAGAGAAGACAGTGTGGCCACAAGTCTGGTTGGGCACAAAACTGACTACAGACTCAGCTTCCCTGGGTGTTGGGAGGCTCCAAGGAGGAGTGAGCATCTGTTACAGAAGAACATTCTGTGGGCAAGTGTGCCTCCCATCATCCCAGGGTCCTGGGTTGGGAGATCCAGGGGCTGCGAGAGGGTGAAGGAGATGGGCAGACTGTTTTTCCCAGACGTGGGGGGGTTATTTTCAGTCCCACCCAAACTTTCCACCCGAAGCCAGGCTTGGGGGCCCTTCCTTGTGAGAACAATATTCCTCTCTTTCCCAGCAACTTTCCTTTGATGGGGCTTCAGTTTGTCTCCCTCCCCCTCAGGGAGCCCATTTCACAACTCTGCCCTTTGCTCCAAAGTAGGGTGCAAACCCTCACCCTATCTCTTCTCTCTCCCCCCTCGGCCCCCCCACCCCATTTCCTCTTCACCCTTATAGCTCCTACAGTCTCTACCATCTCCCACTCCCAGCTGGAGGGGTGTCCATGGGGGACATTTCAGGTGCCAAGGTGCTGAGGGCCTGTGCTGGCCTAGGTAGGAGTGCTAACAGGAAAGCTGCTCTGTTTTCCCCTCCTTTTCATCCTTGGTCTTTTTGGGCCTCCTCTCCTTGGAGCTGGCTGACTGCAGGGCTTGGGTGCCCAGAAGCGGTGGGCTGCACTGCTGGGAAGGGCCCTTTGGAGGGAGCAGGGCGGGAGGAGGTTCTCTCAGGTGTGCGGATGTATATGGGGGGGTGGAGGGCATGGGGAAGTGGGGTTGGGATGCCAGCCTTCCCTTCAAGAGGCAGGCAGCTGCGGGGAGGGGGAGCTCACTGAGACCCAGGGCCCCCACTGCCTACTCTGCTGGCCTTGGGGAACTTTGCACAAGGACACAGCCCCCAGTCTACTAGCACCTACCTCATGGGCACTGGGGCGGGTGGGGGGGGAAGGGCAGGTCCAGCTCTGGCAATGTTGGGGGGGCATACCAAAGAATCCAGGGGCAGGGATTGGGGAAGGGCAGACTTGGCAAGCTGGCCCTTCTCTTCCTCTACCCAGACTGGGGTTGGGGTCCTCTCCTCCAGCTGTAACCATTTCTACCTCATTTTGCTGCGTGTTGTACATGGACGTATTTATCTCCTGTCTGACGATGCTCTGCAGTTGTGGTCTGTCTACCTCAGAAGAGACTGTATTTTAAAAGAAAGTATTACACAGTATTAAAGCGATGACATGTGGTTTCCAGAGGATTTCTTGGGGGCAGCAGGATGTGGGGAGCCCTCTGGGGAATGCTTGGGCATCCAGGTGTGCCACGGGTGGTGCGGCCCTGTGGGTGTTTCTAGTCCTTCAGCAGAACATTAGTGCGGGACTCCTAGTACTCTGCCGCAGCAAGTGCCTACCCAGCGTTGGGCGCTAAGGCCTACGAAGTGAGAAGCCCCTGGATAGGGAAGGCCCTCCTGCAGCTTCGAGCTCCCAGAGGCTCAGAATTCGGGCTGACTCCTATCTCCAGAGTCCCAAAGTATGAGGGGAAAGAAGGGCTCACATGTTTGTTGAATGAGTGAATGGATGAGGAAATGAATGCTCGGAGAAAACGGGGGCTGAAGAGGCTGGTGCACTCAGAATGTGGACAGCAGCCCTTGCTGGCTAGAGCTAAGATTAGACTTCTTGATTCTTGGAGGGAGGAAAGGGGGCAGAGGGCAGGGTATGGAGACAGCCAAGTTCCAGTCTTCGGGGGCACGTGGGATCCTTTGTCTGCCACCATCTGTCCATTCCCAAACTCTACCTTTGCCAGCTCATCATAAACTGAGAGCCTGAGAACCAGGAGGGAAGATCTTGTTGAAAAAGCTATATGGAGATACCTGTCGGAGGTGTGGACCCACAACCTCTTGAGGTCCTTGCATGCTCTAAGCAAAATCACTGAAGATGCACCAGCATGCACGGGCTCAGGGCTGACACATGCCCTGGGCTTTTGGGGGCAAAGCAAGCCCAAGGGGAGAGCCCGCAAAGCAGCCGGCTCCCCTGTGAGAGAAACAATTGTGTGCCTGCACATGGGGGCTCCAGGCATTGCCCCAGGACTCGGTGATGCCAACCCTCTTGGCCTTTGGAGGTCTAGACCTCCCTCACACTCCAGTTGGCTTATTACACTCCTACTCTGTACAGACACTGTAGCACTGAGGATACAGAAATGGTTAAGCACAGCCACTGTTCAAGATGAGATGAACTAAAAATTGGGTCATTTGAAAATAAGTGGGTAAAGCTGCTTGGGGAGGGACCGTATACAAATTTTATGTTCTCACGTCTGGTATAGGATTTGGTACATGCAAGACACTAAAATACTAGATAAGTCCTTCAATTAACCAATTTCTAGAGAAATGACCTAATGGAGGACGCACAGGCTATCTTGGAACAGAATACCAACACAAAACCAAAACAAGCTATCTCAAGAATGCCCAGAAGAGTTCCTGACTCCTGGTGGTGGTGGTGTGTTAGAAAAACTTCCTGGACCGGCGTGGGGGGCGGGGGGGGCAGCTGGAAAGCACCATAGGTGTGATTTGTTCCAGGAGCATAAAGTGAGGGCAGGGGTGGGAGGGCTGGAGGAAGTGAGGCTGGACCACTTGCACCCTGAGGAGCTTTCATGCCCCGGGGAAGAGCTGAGGCTTGGAGATGAAAGTCACGTGTGTGCTTGGAGGAAAGGGGGTTGGTGGCCTGTGGACATGGCCTGATTTGCAAGTTAAGAATTCATACACGGGGGGCGCCTGGGTGGCTCAGTCGTTAAGCGTCTGCCTTCAGCTCAGGTCATGATCCCAGGGTCCTGGGATCGAGTCCCACATCGGGCTCCCTGCTCGG